TATCGTGGATAAATAGAAAACATTCATTACAGTGGGTCGGCAAAAGGATTATAGGAACGGGAGGTAAATCATTTTATAATGTAAAGTGGAATTGTACTAGAGAGAGAGAGAGAGAGGGGAAAGGGTGGTAAGGATTATGATTAAACTAAATATAACTAGATCGTACTGGAAGAGAGCTATCAAAACAGGTGCAGATTGGGTCGATTTTTTATGTTTACACAATGGAAATGAAGGCTAGATTCCCTCTATACTAAGGTTGACTTTAAGGAGGTATTTAATTTCCGGAGGTCCAATAGAAATGCATATATCTATATTATATTTTCCGTCTGTAAAAGATCTCTAGAAACCCATAGTTTTGAGAAAGATTTTCTTCATTAGATATTTGCTTTTAATGGAGACCAAGCAAAGTTTCTTTCTTTTATATGCACCATTGAAAATTTCCGAAAAATGTTTTATAGAGAGATCTACGAAAAACTTAGACCACTGTATCCAATTACCAAAAAATTGCCGTCATGTTACCCACCAACAAAAATTTACCAACCAAGTACATATTCGGTGTGCATTGGGAATTAGTGTACCAGCATGGTGGTAATGCATTTGCCAACATTTGAATTAAAATACAACCTTTTAATCTATGTTCTACACACACACACTTTTGCGGACATCCAGCTACTCTCATCACTCATATGTTGTTACACATTTTCATTTTGGAGACTCTGGAAATTGGGGATTGGGGATTGGTCAGTTGGCAAACAAAACAAGGTGCTATTCCTAAGAGCGCCTGGTAATGTAATATTGCACCTATGTCAAGAGTGTGACCATGTATGTATGTGTCAGCCAGGCAGTCAGTCAGTGTATTTGTGTTTTATGTTTTTGGCTGAATTTTGTTGCCACCGGAAATTGCATGTGTTTTCTAAATTTTCATCAACTTCCTTTTTTGTTTATACATTTTGTAGGATTTTTGTTTTTGGTTTTGGCTAAGTTTTAGCAGTGAAAACACTGAACGATAACAGCAACAATCATCGCCAATGCTACCACACAGGGGATCCGAAAGGTAGAAAGGGGTGGGGAGAAAAGCATAGCTTACACACCAATATTAGTTGTGTTTTTTAATTTTATATACACACCTCCCCGGTTTTCAGTGAAAACATTTATTCGTTTTCATGTTTTTCTGCACCTGTAAGGCAATTTGTACTCTCACACACACACATACAACTATACATTTACACCGTATTGTTCACGGTTATTTTGAGCAGAAACACAAAAATCCATTACTGGAGGCGTTTAAGGACAGTTCCAGAGGAAAAGACAAACATATCTACTCTGTGCAGAAAAGCAGAGGGCTTAGAAGACCTGGAGGTCTTATCATAAGATATATTAAGGTCTTCTTGAGAAGAGCCATAGGTCTTCTCACTAGAAAATCTGAAGGTCTTCTCTTAGAAGAACTGAAGATCTTCTCATAGAAGAGCTGTAGGTTTCTTCTCATAGAAGAGCTGTAGGTCGTTTCTCATAGAAGAGCCATAGGTCTCTTCTCATAGAAAAGCCATAGGTCTCTTCTCCTAGAAGAGCTATAGGTCTTCTCCTAGAAGAGCCATAAGTCAATTCTCATACAATAGCCATAGGTCACTTCTCATAGAAGAGCTATAGGTATTCTCCTAAAATATCTATAGGTCTTCTCCTAGAAGAGCTGTAGGTCTCTTCTCATAGAAGAGCCATAGGTCTCTTCTCATAGAAGAGCTATAGGTCTCTTCTCATAGCAGAGCCATAGATCTCTTCTCAAATAAGAGCCATAGGTCTCTTCTCATAGAAGAGCCATAGGTCTCTTCTCATAGAAGAGCCATAGGTCTCTTCTCATAGAAGAGCTATAGGTCTCTTCTCATAGAAGAGCCATATATCTCTTCTCAAAGAAGAGCTATAGGTCTCTTCTCATAGATGAGCCATAGGTCTCTTCTCATAGAAGAGCCATAGGTCTCTTCTCATAGAAGAGCCATAGGTCTCTGCTCATAGAAGAGCTATAGGTCTCTTCTCCTAGAAGAGCTATTACAGGTCTTCTCGTAGATGAGCTAATATAGGTCTCCTCCTAGAAAAGCTAATATAGGTCTCTTCTCGTAGAAGAGCTATAGGTCTTCTCATAGAAGAGCTCTTATAGATTTTCTCCTAGAAGAACTGTAGGTCTTCTCCTTAGAAGAGCTGTAGGTCTTCTCCTTAAAAGAGCTGTAGGTCACTTCTCATAGAAGAGCCATAGGTCTCTTCTCATAGAAGAGCTATAGGATTTCTCCTAGAAGAGCTATTGGTGTTCTCCTACAAGAGCTATAGGTATTCTCCTAGAAGAGCCCTGGCTCTGAAAGAAAGCTATAGGTCTCTTCTCACAGAAGAGCTATAGGTCTCTTCTCATAGAAGAGCTATAGGTCTCTTCTCATAGAAGAGCTATAGGTCTCTTCTCATAGAAGAGCTATAGGTCTCTTCTCATAGAAGAGCCATAGGTCTCTTCTCATAGAAGAGCCACAGGTCTCTTCTCATAGAAGAGCTATAGGTCTCTTCTCATAGAAGAGCTATAGGTCCCTTCTCATAGAAGAGCTATAGGTCTCTTCTCATAGAAGAGCTATAGGTCTCTTCTCATAGAAGAGCTGTAGGTCTCTTCTCATAGAAGAGCTGTAGGTCTCTTCTCATAGAAGAGCTATAGGTCTCTTCTCATAGAAGAGCTATAGGTCTCTTCTCATAGAAGAGCTATAGGTCTCTTCTCATAGAAGAGCTATAGGTCTCTTCTCATAGAAGAGCTATAGGTCTCTTCTCATAGAAGATCCATAGATCTCTTCTCAAAGAAGAGCCATAGGTCTCTTCTCATAGAAGAGCTATAGGTCTCTTCTTATAGAAGAGCTATAGGTCTCTTCTCATAGAAGAGCTGTAGGTCTCTTCTCATAGAAGGCTATAGGTCTCTTCTCATAGAAGAGCTATAGGTCTCTTCTCATAGAAGAGCCATAGATCTCTTCTCAAAGAAGAGCCATAGGTCTCTTCTCATAGAAGAGCCATAGGTCTCTCCTCATAGAAGAGCCATAGGTCTCTTCTCATAGAAGAGCCATAGGTCTCTTCTCATAGAAGAGCCATAGGTCTCTTCTCATAGAAGAGCCATAGGTCTCTTCTCATAGAAGAGCTGTAGGTCGCTTCTCCAAGAAGAACTATAGGTCTTCTCCTAGAAGAGTTATAGGTCTTCTCCCAGAAGAGCTATAGATTTCTTCTCATAGAAGAGCTTTAGGTCTTCTCTCATATAAGTGCCATAGGTTTCTTCTCATAGAAGAGCTATAGGTCTCTCACCTAGAAGAGCCATAGATCTCTTCTCATAGAAGAGCTATATGTCTCTTCTCATAGAAGAGTTATAGGTCTCCTCTCATAGAAGAGCTATAGGTCTCTTCTCATAGAAGAGCCATAGGTCTATTCTCAAAGAAGAGCTTTAGGTCTCTTCTCATAGAAGAGCCATAGTTCTCTTCTAGAAGAGCTATAGGTCTTCTTCTAGAAGAGCTAATATAGATCTTCTCCTAGATGAGCCAATATAGGTCTTCTCCTAGAAGAGCTAATATAGGTCTTCTCCTAGATGAGCCAATATAGGTATTTTCCTAGAAGAGCTATAGGTCTTATCCTAGAAGAACAATAGGTCTTCTCCTAGAAGAGCTATAGGTCTTCTCTTAGAAGAGCTATAGGTCTTCTCTTAGAGGAGCTATAGGTTTTCTCCTAGAAGAACAATAGGTCTTCTATAGCTCTTCTATAGGTCTTCTACAAGAAGAGCTATAGGTCTTCTACTAGAAGAGCTATAGGTCTTCTCTTAGAAGAGCTATAGGTCTTCTCTTAGAAGAGCTATAGGTCTTCTCTTAGAAGAGCTATAGGTCTTCTCTTAGAAGAGCTATAGGTCTTCTCTTAGAAGAGCTATAGGTCTTCTTTTAGAAGAGCTATAGGTCTTCTCTTAGAAGAGCTATATGTCTTCTCTTAGAAGAGCTATAGGTCTTCTCTTAGAAGAGCTATAGGTCTTCTCTTAGAAGAGCTATAGGTCTTCTCTTAGAAGAGCTATAGGTCTTCTCTTAGAAGAGCTATAGGTCTCTTCTCATAGAAGAGCCATAGATCTCTTCTCAAAGAAGAGCTATAGGTCTCTTCTCATAGAAGAGCCATAGGTATCTTCTCATAGAAGAGCCATAGGTCTCTTCTCATAGAAGAGCCATAGGTCTCTGCTCATAGAAGAGCTATAGGTCTCTTCTCCTAGAAGAGCTATTATAGGTCTTCTCGTAGATGAGCTAATATAGGTCTCCTCCTAGAAGAGCTAATATAGGTCTTCTCCTAGAAGAGCTAATATAGGTCTCTTCTCGTAGAAGAGCTATAGGTCTTCTCATAGAAGAGCTCTTATAGATTTTCTCCTAGAAGAACTATAGATCTTCTCCTTAGAAGAGTTGTAGGTCTTCTCCTTAGAAAAGCTGTAGGTCTCTTCTCATAGAAGAGCTATAGGATTTCTCCTAGAAGAGCTATTGGTGTTCTCCTACAAGAGCTATAGGTATTCTCCTAGAAGAGCTGTTTCCCTTTTCTTGAAGACCAGAAAGCCCTGGCTCTGGCCCTAAAAAATATTTGTTAAAATCCATTGTTTTGGCTTTGATAATCCTTGAAAATTATTAGGCTTTCCACGTTTTTAGCTTGGCTGATGGGGTGATGCCCCTTGACATTTGATCCGAGGCAAGTTTTCTCATAGAAGAGCTGCAGGTCTTATCATTGAAAACTTGACAATTCTTGCCCTGGTCCTAAATAAGCTATTTTTGCGGTCTTTGAGAAGGTTTGTTTAAAAAATCACGTTAGTGGCTGAATGGGCTCTGAGGAATGGTCCTTAAAAAAACATTGGAGGTTATTTAAAAAAATCAGGATTATGGGTAGTCCTTCAGGAGATGGCTTTATTTTGATTGACCAAAAATTATAATTTTTGTTTTGGCATGTTTTATTAAATTTTTCTTACTCTTTTCTATTTCCAGTGTATCCTGCGATTGTCCTGGAACAGTCCTTATATTCCCATCAAAATTATATATAACCTTAAGTATGGTTTTAACACACAATGAGTTCGACAAACTTAATATAAACTAAATGCACTTTCCGCTAAAAACAACCAAACAAAACCGAATAACATCATCAAGCTGCTGCTACTGCTGCTGCTGTGAATTAAATGGTAAAAGTGCTGAAACAAAAACAACATGAATAACAACAGCAACAACAACAACATAAAAGTGAAATGCGAAATATAAAATTGCAATAGAAAAACATTTAAAATAACATCAAAAGCAAAACGTTGGGCGCCATTGTATGGCACGTGATGCTTGTTGCCTTGAAAAGACATTTGGCAACGTTACGGAGGATTTGGAGCTGTTCAACGCGGTAAAGGTGGTGCTGTGTGCGAGGAGTCAGCCAACCCCCATGTGGGCATACACACACACACCTCTGTACATAGCCACCAAGTAGTTCGAACTGCCACTAACGGCTGTTGCTGCCGCTGATCCTGGTGGTGGCCATAAAATTCTATGACTCTGAAAAAAAAAATTAACGGAATAATAAAACAACAACATTAAGTAGTACAACAAAAGACAACATTTTTAAGACAGAAGGAAACAAGGACACATAAAAACAAAATAACAAAAACAACAACAGCAACAACAAGAAAAACAAATCCCAACGCTAATAGTCGTCAGGTTTGTTGGGTGCATTTAAATGTTCAGCGAGCAAACAAGCTGGGAGCAACAGTACCTTGTTAAGGTAACTTATGGACATCATCCGGCAAAGAAATAACAATTCACAACAACAACAAAAATCATAAAAAAACAACAACAAAGAGGGAGAGAAAAAATAGAAAATAAACATTACCGAATCCGTACCAACCCTCCCCTACTCATGTTCGTGGAATTGTAGGGTAATCAAAATCGGAAGTATTGCACAACAACAACAAAAAACAACAACATCGCACGGTATTGGTGTTGTTGTGGGTCCCGTGCAATCGCGTCGTATTGTGTTGCATTTTCGAGTAGCGCGCTTCGCGACATGGCCGTCAGCAATATCGTGTGTGAATGGCTGAGGGCCCTCGGTTTGGGCCAATATGCCGAAAGTTTTCTCGACAATGGTTACGATGATTTGGAAATCTGCAAACAGGTTGGCGATCCCGATCTAGATGCTATCGGTGTTGAAAATCCGGCACATCGTCACAAGCTGTTGAAAAGTATACGACAGTTGCGTGAAAAGGGTGCCGCCTCGGTGTATTTCATGTTGAACGATCCCAACTCATTGTCGGGCAGTGCGGAAATATTATGTGTAACACCACCGCCAAATGATCTGGATATTGTCATACGAGAGCAGCTGGAAACGGATGGTGTAAGGCTAACCGCTCATCCATATTCGACACCGGTAAGTTGAGAAGATGAAATAAAATTTTTGTGGGTATTTAGACTTTTTTTCAAATTCCTTGGGGTTTTAAGGAGATTTTCGACTCAATTCCCCTGATGCTAGCCCACAGGAAAATTTAAGTAAAATAAAATAGCAACACATGTACAGATTTTTTTCTGGTCATATGGAAGAATAAATTAGCTTATTTTCGACTCTGGCAAACATACACACATCTGGGCGAGCTAGAAAAAAATTTCCTATAATTTTATTATCCATTAGGGGGATGAAACGGCAAATATGTCTTTGCAAACACCAACATCACCACCCTTGGCTAGCCATACATCCATCTACCCAACCATCCATCCATCCTTCCACTTGGCTTGCCAATTTGTGTGTGTCTCTGAAATTCAATGCCACCTCATCAAGTATTCCCATCTCTGGAGACTTATTTATTATTTAGCTGTCATTTCTTTTGTAGTTGTTGCTGCTCGAATTTTTATTTCGTTCGTTCCGTTGAACCCTTCCCTGAATTGAATTAAGCCATAAACTAAGTGAATTTTGGTTTTTATTTTTTTTCGTTTCGAATTTGTTTGGATTTTTTTTTGTAAGTTTTATGAAAATAAAAATATAACACGCATAAATTTATCATTTTTCAAAATAAAGTTGTTGCTGAGGTATTCTCCAAAGACCTCGAGAAGACTAATCCGATGATTGTCACCAAATTTGTGGCTAATAAGCATGACAGTCATTTGTCTTCGAATAAGAGAAAAGGAAAATGAAAAATATATAAATAAATTTCCAAAGAAAATTTGGCCACATTTTTTAGGGGAGAGGGGCAGGGGTGAGGCAAATATTAAATAGGACTTTCATATGTGTGAAATTTTTAATAAAAGAGAGATTTAGGGAAGTAGACATGTCCAACCACAGCAAATCGATTTATTGTTTAATTAGACCCTCTTTCATAAAGAAGGCCATGACGATCTTATGTGAGGTCGTACGGGAAAAACTGAATCCACTTCTATGGAGAGCTTCTATTTCCGACATTCCATTTGAAAAATAGATGGTCCTGTGGTGTTCTATGTTAAGACCTTTTTGGTTTCTATATGAGCAACTTCTGGTCTTCCATAAGTAAACTTTCTGGTTATCTATCAGAAGACTTCTATGTCTTCTTTCGAGTCTTCTATTAGAAGCACTTCGTGTCATCTATGAGAAAATCCAGCGGTCTTCTATAAAATAGGTTTAGAGCCTTTTGAAAGAAGATCTTGATAACTTCTAAAGACTTTGAGGTTTTCTATGAGCAAACCCTAAAGTCTTCTTTAAGAAATCCCTGAGGTCTTCTATATGAAGACCTTGAGGATTCCTACAAGAAGACCCTGAAGTCTTCTATGAGAAGTCCCTGAGTTCTTCTATAAGAAGGCATTGAGTATTTCTGTAAGGACTTCCTGAGGTCTTCTAAGAGAAGACCCTGAGGTCTTCCATATGACGACCTTGAGGATTTATGTAAGAAGACTCTGCGGTCTTGTATGAAAATACCTTGAGGCCTTCCATGAAAAGGCGTATTGCTCTTCTATAAGAAGACCGACTGGTTCTCTATAAGAAGACCTACTGGTCCTCTATGAGAAGACCATGAGCCCTTTGATGGGAAGACCTTGACGTCTTCTATAAGAATACTTTGAGTACTTTTTGGAGAGGACCTCCAGGTTTTCTAGAGGGAAGACCATCGTGTCTTCTATGAGAATAATATCGGGTCTTCTTTTGGAGAATATCTACTGATCTTCTGTGAGAAAACTTTTAGGTCTTCTGTAAAATCTATTTCTGGTCTTTTACTCCTCTATGAGATGATCTTGATATCTTTTTTTAAGGAGACCTTCGGAAAGAGAAACGTTCGGAGACTTATTTATTATTTAGCTGTCATTTCTTTTGTAGTTGTTGCTGCTCGAATTTTTATTTCGTTCGTTCCGTTGAACCCTTCCCTGAATTGAATTAAGCCATAAACTAAGTGAATTTTGGTTTTTATTTTTTTTCGTTTCGAATTTGTTTGGATTTTTTTTTGTAAGTTTTATGAAAATAAAAATATAACACGCATAAATTTATCATTTTTCAAAATAAAGTTGTTGCTGAGGTATTCTCCAAAGACCTCGAGAAGACTAATCCGATGATTGTCACCAAATTTGTGGCTAATAAGCATGACAGTCATTTGTCTTCGAATAAGAGAAAAGGAAAATGAAAAATATATAAATAAATTTCCAAAGAAAATTTGGCCACATTTTTTAGGGGAGAGGGGCAGGGGTGAGGCAAATATTAAATAGGACTTTCATATGTGTGAAATTTTTAATAAAAGAGAGATTTAGGGAAGTAGACATGTCCAACCACAGCAAATCGATTTATTGTTTAATTAGACCCTCTTTCATAAAGAAGGCCATGACGATCTTATGTGAGGTCGTACGGGAAAAACTGAATCCACTTCTATGGAGAGCTTCTATTTCCGACATTCCATTTGAAAAATAGATGGTCCTGTGGTGTTCTATGTTAAGACCTTTTTGGTTTCTATATGAGCAACTTCTGGTCTTCCATAAGTAAACTTTCTGGTTATCTATCAGAAGACTTCTATGTCTTCTTTCGAGTCTTCTATTAGAAGCACTTCGTGTCATCTATGAGAAAATCCAGCGGTCTTCTATAAAATAGGTTTAGAGCCTTTTGAAAGAAGATCTTGATAACTTCTAAAGACTTTGAGGTTTTCTATGAGCAAACCCTAAAGTCTTCTTTAAGAAATCCCTGAGGTCTTCTATATGAAGACCTTGAGGATTCCTACAAGAAGACCCTGAAGTCTTCTATGAGAAGTCCCTGAGTTCTTCTATAAGAAGGCATTGAGTATTTCTGTAAGGACTTCCTGAGGTCTTCTAAGAGAAGACCCTGAGGTCTTCCATATGACGACCTTGAGGATTTATGTAAGAAGACTCTGCGGTCTTGTATGAAAATACCTTGAGGCCTTCCATGAAAAGGCGTATTGCTCTTCTATAAGAAGACCGACTGGTTCTCTATAAGAAGACCTACTGGTCCTCTATGAGAAGACCATGAGCCCTTTGATGGGAAGACCTTGACGTCTTCTATAAGAATACTTTGAGTACTTTTTGGAGAGGACCTCCAGGTTTTCTAGAGGGAAGACCATCGTGTCTTCTATGAGAATAATATCGGGTCTTCTTTTGGAGAATATCTACTGATCTTCTGTGAGAAAACTTTTAGGTCTTCTGTAAAATCTATTTCTGGTCTTTTACTCCTCTATGAGATGATCTTGATATCTTTTTTTAAGGAGACCTTCGGAAAGAGAAACGTTCGGGTCCTCTTTGGAGGAACCTTCGGGTCCTCTATGGAGAAGACCTTCAGCTCTTCTATGGAGAATACCTCCAGCTCTTCTATGGAGAAGACCTTCAGCTCTTCTATGGAGAAGACCTCCACAGCTCTTCTATGGAGAAGACCTCCACAGCTCTTCTATGGAGAAGACCTCCACAGCTCTTCTATGGAGAAGACCTCCACAGCTCTTCTATGGAGAAGACATCCACAGCTCTTCTATGGAGAAGACCTCCACAGCTCTTCTATGGAGAAGACCTCCACAGCTCTTCTATGGAGAAGACCTCCACAGCTCTTCTATGGAGAAGACCTCCACAGCTCTTCTATGGAGAAGACCTCCACAGCTCTTCTATGGAGAAGACCTCCACTGCTCATCTATGGAAAAGACCTTCTTCTGCTTTTCTATGGGGAAGACTTTCTTCTGCTCTTCTATGAGAAGATTTTCAGGTTTTTTATGGGCAAGGTTTTTGGGTCCTCTATGAGAAGGCCTTGTGATCTTCTATAAATAAACCTTCGGGTCTTTCATATATAAGACCTACTGATCTTCTATGTCCTACTGGTCTTCTATAGAAATGTTCTTTGTTAGAAGACCTCTTTGTCGTTTTTATAAGAAGACGTCCCGTATCAGAACATTTACTGGTGTTTTATAAGCAGATATTGTGGTCTTCTATAAGAGGACCTTGTGATCTTTCTGTGAGAAAACTCTGTGGTCTTAAAGGGAAAATACCTACTTGCCTTCCGTAAAGAAGAATTTTGGGTCTTTTATTTTATTTGGAAAATAGATCAAAACGACCTATTTGGTGACACGTTTGAGGATTAAAATTTCTGACCTAAATAATCCCCGTATTGTTATCTGTAATATTTCCGAAGATACTATATACCTAAGATCGACATATTCCGAGGACTCCTAACCCAAAAATTAAAAAAAAGTGGAAGAGCGTAGAATCTGCTGTCTTTATTTTGGGTTACTTTTGCAATGTAAAACGGCGATACATGTGTCTTCTATTTTTAACTATTCTTTCACAATCCACCCGATTTTCTTGTTACTATTTTTGATGCTTCTTTGTGTTATTCAAAAACTTTTCTCCAATTGCTTCTAGAAATTAATTTCTTGATGTGAACACGTTCCTCCTGTTTTCTTTACTAATTTGATTTCATTCTTTCAATTCCTAATTTTCCTTTACATAAAGCCCACACACGATGTGTAAGATGGGGGTGAGGGGAAGGAAGCACCTTTTGTTTAATCATCAAATCTGTAACATAGTTCTTTGCTTTAGTTTACATTTCCCATTATTTTAGCTGCAGGATATAAAATTGTTTATTACTTTTCATCACACGTGGATGAAACATTTCATCACCCCACCCTTTCCCCAATTCCGAACACCCGCACACCCATCCGTTGAATCGTACAACTATTGCGGGGATATAATTAAGGAATTCCGGGTTATTAGGTGAGAAAAATGTTATGCTTTTCACTTCATTAAAACTGGCAACTAATGACGAACAGAGGAGGACACATCCTGATGATGAGTTAGTCAGTCAGCCAGGCAGCCATTCATGTCGCCATTCATTCATCCATTCAGAGGCCTCCTCCACACATACATATGCATGTTTGTATGTGTGTGTGTTTCTGGTAATTTTTCATAGAACTAGCTGCAATTTCTGGTTCTTTA